TTCAAGCGCTACGCCAAGAAAAGGAACATCCTGGTCGGGCATTCCTACGGGTAAAGGGATGGGATCGGGATGGGGAACATCCCGGGAAACGCAAATCCCGCGGTTTAGGGGCTCGCGTTCTTTCTACGCCGTTTATTTCCCGTTTATTTGCCGTTTTTGTCACATTTTTATCTCGTTTTTATCCCATTTTTATCTCATTTTTATCTCGTTTTTATCCTGTTTTTATATCCCATTTATATCCCATTTATCCCATTTTTATCCAATTTTTATCCCGCTTATCCCATTTATATCCCACTTATCCTCTTTTTATCCAATATATCCCATTTTTATCCCGTTTTATCTCATTTTTATCCCACTTATCCCATTTTTATCCCATATTTATCCCACTTATCCCATTTTTATCCTGTTTTTATCCATTTTTGTCCAATTTTTATTCCATTTATCCCATTTATATCCCATTTACCCCATTTTTACCCCATTTTTCCCATTTTCCCCCCATTTTTCCCATTTTTACCGCATTTATCCCGTTTTTATCCCATTTATCCCATTTTTATCCCGTTTTTACCCCATTTATCCCATTTTCACCCCATTTATCCCATTTTCACCCCTTTTTTCCCATTTCCACCCCGTTTTTATCCCATTTTCCCCTCATTTTTATCCTGTTTTTACCCCATTTTTTTCCCATTTCCTCCCCATTTTTTCACATTTCCACCCCATTTTTCTCATTTTCCCCCCATTTTTCCCATTTCCCTCCATTTTTCCCATTTCCACCCCGTTTTTCCCATTTCCCCCCATTTTTCCCACTTCCACCCCGTTTTTATCCCATTTCCACCCCGTTTTCCCATTTTCACCCCATTTTTTTCCCATTTTCACCCCGTTTATCCCATTTCCACCCTGTTTTTCCCATTTTTACCCCATTTTCCCCATTTTCACCCCATTTATCCCATTTTCACCCCATTTTTTTCCTGTTTTCACCCCATTTATCCCATTTCCACCCCATTTATCCCATTTCCACCCCGTTTTTCCCGTTTCCCCCCATTTTTCCCATTTCCCCCCATTTTTCCCGTTTCCGCCCCGTTTTTCCCATTTCCCCCCCGTTTTTCCTGTTTCCCCCCCGTTTTTCCCCCGTTTCCCCCCGTTTTTCCCGTTTCCCCCCGTTTCCACCCCGTTTTTCCCGTTTCCCCCCCGTTTTTCCCGTTTCCCCCCCGTTTTTCCGGCACTCGGAGCCCCGGGGTGCCCGGGGTGCCCCCGGTGTCCGGCTGATCCCGGAGAGGGACGGGAAGGGCAGGGACGGGAAATCCGTAAATCGGATAAAACCGGGATTAGGGATCCCTGCTGGGGGAGAGGAACGGAGGAGGAGCCGGAACCGGATCGGAACCGGGCGGGATCGGATCGGAACCGGTCGGGATCGGATCGGAACCGGGCGGGATCGGATCGGAACCGGGTGGGATTGGATCGGAACCGGGCGGGATTGGATCTGATCCGGGTGGGATTGGATCGGAACCGGGCGGGATTGGATCAGAACCGGGCGGGATTGGATCGGTTCCGGGTGGGATTGGATCGGAACCGGGTGGGATTGGATCGGAACCGGGTGGGATTGGATCGGAACCGGGTGGAATTGGATTGGATCCGGGTGGGATTGGATCAGAATGGGTTGGGTTGGATCAGAACTGGGTGGGATTGGATCAGAACTGGGTGGGATTGGATCGGAACCGGGTGGGATTGGATCGGAACCGGGCGGGATCGGATCGGAACCGGGCGGGATCGGATCAGAACCGGGCGGGATTGGATCAGAACCG